TTTTTTTTTTTTTTTTTGGAGTCAGACCCTCACTTTGTCTCCCAGGCCGGCATGCAGTGGCACACTCACAGCCACCAGAGCCTTGACCTGCTGGGCTCAGGCAATCCTTCTGCCTCAGACTTCCAAGTAACGGAAATTACAGGCACATGCCACTATGCCCAGCTAATTTTTTGATTTATTGTAGAGACGAGGTCTTGCCAAGTTGCCCAGGTGGGTTTCAAACCCTTGAACTCATGCAATCCTCTCACCTCTGCCTCCCAAAGTGCTGAGATTACAGGCTTGAGCCATTGCGCCCGGCTTTTTCAAAACCTATCTTTTTAGCCTGACTATTAGTCCTTTTTATTATACGATAACTTCACATCCAACTGTCTGCTAAAAGGGCTATTTTCCATTGTGTTTTGTTTGCAATGTCTTAGAGGCAGCAAACTGACTCTACTTTAAATGGTTTGAATCAGGTCTCCACGTCTTCTGTGGTTGAAGGAAAGGAGCTCCCCACTCGAAGTTCAAGTGAAAACGCCAAAGTTACCAGCCTAGACAGCAGTTCCCACAGAATCATCGCAGTTCACTACGTGCTAGAGGAGAGCAGCGGCTACATGGAGCCCACGTTGCGTATCTTAGCTATTCTTCACACAGTCATTTCCTTCTTCTGCATCATTGGATACTACTGCTTGAAAGTAAGCTAGTAAGGCACCAAGGTACCTGTATGTGTTTATGTGTGTGCGTGTCTGTTGCAGATTGGACGTCTGGGAAAGCAGATTCTGAGCTGGAAATTGTATGCCCAAAGTTTATTAGGGAATGGCCCATGAATCAACACCTGTGGGGCTATTGGGAGAAGCAAGATGGGGCAGAGGGGAGAGTTGGGTTCCAGTGTAGACATGGCATGTGCAGTCTCTGAAGCTGGGGTACTCCATGTTGTCCTGCTCTGGGGAATTGAAGCTTGGCCATTAGATGTCTAAGTGAATTAGTCATTGGCTGCCCTGGGAAGGGAGATGTGATCTTGGGCTGTCTTGTAGTTTTCTTTTACATATTGATAATTATCCACTTAGTAGGCAATTTCACATATGACATGACCCTACAGAAGTGAGCATACCCACTCCTAGTGTCTCACAGTGATGCAGTGATGTTCACTATGTTTATTAAGACATATAGAACAAAGATCTGAGTATCACATGTTCTCACTTATAAGTGGACCTTGAATATCTATCATAATACTTTAAGAAAAGGATCGACAGTGGTGGGAATCCATGGGGGGGCAGGGAGGGCAAGGGTGGTGGGATTAATGGCTGACAATATCTGTCTGGGGACAGGGGGATACCCCTTATCAACAAGGGTGCCTGAGCGATGCATATTTGTATACCTAACCCTTAACCGTACCCCACAGTTTTAAGATAAAAAATATGTTTAATTCAAAAAAAGACATATAGATATACATTGTATCAAACCTATGAATCATTTTGATTGTTCTGCTATTAGGTAAGTATCTATTGCCATCCTTGGCAGAAATGCCTCACAATTTGTCACACTTCACCCAGTAAATAATGCAGCTTTATCTCTAAGAGGCCTGCCAAGGGAACGATGTAATTTGGTGACTGGGATATAAGATAGTCTCTCCGAGTGCTCAGGGCTGCCCATTACCTGTGCAAACCTCTTTATCTTTTCCTAGCAAGACGCTTTTTCACTGTAATGCCTTTCTTTCACTGTCCTCTGTCTCTGGTTGTAAAGCTTCCAGAAGATGTTTGAAAAACCGAGGCTCAGACTAAAAGACTAGAATGTAAAGGGTTCTTCAGAAACTCCTTTCTTCCTTTATATCCCCTTGTTTTATGGTGGTGGATATTCTTGGATACTTGCAGAATGTCTGTATCTTTTTGCTGTCTGTGCCTTGTGTGAAATCTGCTTATAAGAAATGAGAATCAATATATTCTAGAGTGATTTTGGCAAACTGACAAAGACTTTTGCTGATGTGAAATTAAAATTTATCTCAAAATAGCATATGGGCATGTTGAACATGGAATTATTAAAGAGGTTTCTCAAATAAAACTGCATTTTAGCAGCATGCCTTTTGAAATATGGTAAGATTGTTAAATTTTATTACATCTATTCATGTTGAAATATGTGTGTGTGTGTAGAAGAAAAATAATTTTGTATTTCTCTTTAGTACTTAAAAATTATTTCTTTAATGCAATTGTCTATAAACCCCTATATGTTTACAAACATATGCATATCTGTTCTACTGCTGTTTTTCTAGATGCTTTTTTCTGCCTGAATATAGCTAATTCATTCTCTCTCAATTTTTACCTTTCTGGAAGTCCATGGGAAATATTTCTTTCCAGAAGCTGTTTTGTGAAGATAGTGACCACAGGAGATGCCAGTAAATCTAAACTAATTTTAACGTGTTTATTTTTCATGTGTAGGTCCCATTGGTTATTTTTAAGCGAGAAAAGGAAGTAGCTCGAAAATTGGAATTTGATGGGCTTTATATTACAGAACAGCCTTCAGAAGATGATATTAAAGGCCAATGGGATCGACTAGTAATCAACACACAGTGAGTAAAGAATTATATGAGACATTTCTGTGCTCAGAATTCTCAAAACTTGAAAATACTTTGCTGGAATCCCTGTAGATTTGTCAGAAGTTTGGCAGAGGTGAATAATAGTTATATATTCAGTCGAGAAAATCAAAAGACTAAGAGCCATCAGCCTCCTAATGGATGCCCTCAATTTTTGCCCTCTGAGTTCTGAATTCCTTAATCAAAAATGGCTTTGAGTTCATTTCCATGGCATGGACGGAACCTCACATCCATTACTCAGTGTTCAGGGAAGTGTGTAGCGGGAGGTACACAACCTGCAACATAGGGTTATCTCATCCAAAAGCAGAGGCAGCAAAATTATTCATTAAGGAAAGAGTTGTAGCATTAAAGGCAGAAATATTGAATTTCACACATTTAATATATCTGAGTTACAAACTTTCAGTTGGTACCATCAAGCAGCCTAGCATAAAGACAGCTAAGTATTATGACATGATGTAAAATGTATGGCAGAGAGACAAATACTTTTTCTATCCAATAATTGTTTGCCTTGTGAGATCAAGATCTAAATGACTAGCTAAAATTACAGTTTTCCACCATAAAAAGTATTAGAGACAAAATAATTGTTGAGCAGTTTATATCTACTACCCAAGATTAAAATAGATTTTTATCGTGATTAGTTTTGTCTGTTATCAAAAAGTTATCATTTCTAATAGGTTCTGAGTTCTCAAATTGGGATGATTTATTTATACATTATACACATTTACTCTAAATGCTAAATGTTTGTTTAGCAATTCTACCTATTTATTGTAAATCTAATCAAGTCAGTCCCTTTAAGCAAACTCTTCATATTAGTCAGGGGGCCATAGTCATGGATTGGTGCCATGTTCAAAGTTTCTTTGAGGATAACTGGTAGAAAGGAGACTTTTTTCTTCACAGGAAAAACAATGACAGGTTTTAAGAATCTTTCATTTTTAAAGAAAACTGACCAAAAAATTTGTGTATTGATACATTATACAAATGACAAATATAACAACACTGCTTATTAATAAATATGCTTATATTCATCTCCACTGACATATCAGCTTACAGTCATTTTCATGTGATTTACATATATACCCTTATATATAAATATTTAAAATAATATTTAATATACCTGTAATGTAGAAAAATTATGAGATAAGATGCTAACCAAATTCATTGTACTTTTATATGGATGGCAGGATATCTGTTTACATATTATTTTAAGTATTTTGCATATCCAAATGTTATGTTATTATTTATCATTTAAAAATAATATGATTTACTTCTATACTTTTCTTTCTTTTAGGTCATTTCCCAACAATTACTGGGACAAATTTGTTAAAAGAAAGGTAATACTTCTTAGGGAATAAATTGTAATTTTTCCTGAAGTACAATTCAGATTCGAATTTCATGTGGTTTGGATGTAGAATGAGATATTGACATGTGCTCTATCTGCCTGTTAAAGTCATTTCAAAATGGCAATAGAGTAGGATATGAATTTCAAGAATAGCACATAAGCCCCACTTCACAACCCCAAAATAAATAGGATAACCAGTGTTCAGCTCAAAATATTAACACTTACTGGCAAGAATTGTTTTTGAAATGGTTTGGGTAACCTAAGTCTACCCACACAAGGATATTTTCTGATGAGACAGCAGATGAATCACTGGCACTCGTGTCCTCCTTTATGGTAAAGAAATAAAGTTGTTGGATGACAACAAATGAATGAATTTTATTTATTTTTACAGAACTTTGAATGTTTTTTGTTTTTCAAATAAGATCTTATTATTTTGATGCTGACTGCATCAGAGGGTAGTAGAAAGAACACTGAAATGGAGTTTAGGCATCGACTGTGACATGCACTAGAGCTCTGATCTTGAGAGCGTCTGATAAGTCAAGGATCACTTCTGCCCTACCTACTACACAAGAGTTTGACGTGGATCCCTTGAATGAAATATTATAGCCAACAGTGTTTGTCCATTGTAAAATGCTATAATCATTATTTTGTGATTCATTCCTTATTCCTTGAACTGTTCTAACTGTCAGACTAATGCAACTCACACACTATTTCCTAATGAATTCCAATGTATACCATCCAGAGTGAATAGCCAGTTATACCCAGCAAACGAAGTGGTCTTTCCTTTGGTTTCACCAGTTCAATGCTACTCAAAGGGTCGTTGACAACTGGCCCTAAACAATTTTGTTACCAGTCGGAGTAGAGATCTAGAGCTTGCACCAAGAATTTGAATCAACTACATCATTAAATACATTAATATGTAAAACAACACTTTCTAGTTGAAAAAGGAAATATGTTTATTTATTTACTTCTTTGGTACAAGTGTTTTGTTCCCTTGTGACATGGCATTTCAAGTAACATTGAGCTAGAGCATCAGAGTGCATCCAAGTTAGGCAAAAGCTTTGAAAGAATAATTTTAGAATGCTTTAAAATAGGTAAGCCGGGCTCGGTGGCTCAGCCTGTAATCCCAGCACTTTGCGAGGCTGAGGTGAGTGGATGGCCTGAGCCCGCGGGTTCGAGACCTGCCTGGGCCACTTGGTGAGACCTCATCTCTACAATAAAATCAAAAATTAGCTGGGCGTGGTAGCGCGCGCCTGTAGTTCCAGCTACTTGGAAGGCTGAGGCGGAAGGATCGCCAGAGCCCAGCAGGTCGAGGCTGCGGTGGCCGGGAGCGGCCACTGCATTCCAGTCTGGGTGACAGAGTAAGACTCCAACTCAAATAAATAAATAAATAAATAAATAAATAAATAAATAAATAAATAAAATAGGTAATTGCACATTTTACTCCTATTAATTATTTAATGAAATAAAGAGGAAGCGTCTAAATTATTAAAGCAAGAGTTTCTCTGAAGGAAGCGATATATTTATAGAAAAATGAGTAGATGGATAAACAGTAATGGTGACCAAGCCTATTCCTAGCTTTCCTGCTTTGGTACCCATTGTGTTCTGCAGGGAATGAAAGTGAGAAAACAGTTCATAAAGCACTCCTGCTCAGATCAGCCCAGCCCACTTTTAGCACCATGAGAACAATGCAAAATCAAACGCATTAGTTAACCTAAACAGTATATGTTCATAAGCTTTCAACGACCATTGCTCTTTTCTGTTTTCTTTTATTTGCCCAATTGTATACTGTCAGGAAAAAACCAATTGTTATTTCTACCAATCCTTTCTTTATGTTTATGTACAAGGGGGGAGACCCCCAAAAACCCAGTATTTATTTAAAAATTGTGTATTTATTCTTACATGTTTAAACGTTTGTCTCCTTAAAGTACTCTCCATTTGATGCAATACACCAATCAAGATGCTTTTTCCACTGCTCAAAACAGTGTTTAAACTCATCAGTTTTGATGCTTTTCAGTGCTTCTGCCATTTTTTGTTTGTTTCATTTTTTCTACGTCAGCGAAGCGCTTCCCTTTGAGGACTTTTTTCATCAGGGGAAACAAAAAGAAGTTGCTGGGGCAAGACTGAGTGAAGAGGGAGGGTGGGGCACAGGGGTCTAGCCATTTTTTGTTCAAAAACTGCTGAACATTCAGCATGGTGTGGGCAGGTGTGCTCATAAATCACCCGTCATGAAATGGGCAAACACATTGAAAGAATCTCAGAAACTGAAATGAATGCAGCCTCTCATGACACTGGCTGGTACACTGATGCCAATGGATTCCTAGAACACTTACCTAGCAGGGGAAGCCTGTACTACAAAGGGTCTGCCCTCCAAAAGAAAATTCCAGGTTTCTTGGGGTTCCCCTTCATATTTCTTTTTTTTTTTTTAACATATTTTTTATTATAAGATTGTGGGGTACAGTTAAGGGTTAGGTATACAAATGTACATCGTTCAGGCACCCTTGTTGATAAGGGGCGTCCCCTCGTCCCCAGACAGATATTGACTACCGTTAGTCCAACCTTCCTTCCCCTCCCTACCCCCCCCATGGTTTCCCACCACTGTCAGTCCTTTTTTTATAGTATTATGGTAGATGTTCAAGGTCCACTATATGAGTGAGAACATGTGATACTCAGATCTTTGTTTCTGTGAGAGGTCACTCAGTATTATAGACTCTAGTTCCATCCAGGTTGCTGCGAAATTCATGATTTTGTTCTTTTTTATGGCTGCGTAGTATTCCATCGTGTATATGTACCACATTTTTTTAATCCAGTCCTCTTTTGATGGACAGCATGGTTGGTTCCAGGTTCTTGCTATTGTGAACAATGCTGCGATAAACAGGTATCTTTTTGATAGAGTGATTCAAGTTCTTCAGGGTATATTCCCAGTAGGGAGATTGCAGGGTCATGTGGGAGGTCGATATTTAGAGCTTTTAGGAATCGCCACACTGCTTTCCACAAAGGTTGCACTAGTTTGCACTCCCACCAACAGTGTAGAAGTGTTCCCTTTTC